ACTTTCTGTCTCTCTGTCTCTTTCTGTCTGTCTGGCGAGCGCATGCTCCCTATAGTGAAAATCTCTCAAAAAAAAAGAAAAGTAAAGATTCTATTTTATCTCCTCCATTGACTTATTAGCAATACTTTCCTCTTTTTATTAGTTTTAGCAGTTGATCTAGAGTATGGTTCTCAACCTCCACATTATTGACATTTTAGACCAGATAATTCTTTGATGTTGGGGCTGAACTGTGTATTACAGGATATTTAACAGCATCCCTGGTCTCTGCCTGCTACCTGCCAATAGTATAGTGCCTGTCATGAAAATAAAAAGTTTCTGCAGTGATTGCCAAATATCCTGGGATGGCAGTGGCAAAATTGCCTTTGGCAGCTTGCTCTAGAACCTAGCTTTAGAGCTTATAATAAGCATTTTTAATTTTAATTTCTATCTTCAAATCAGATATCATTTGTATGTTGTGATGAAACCTTAAATACAGGGACCACTGGATGGCATGGTGGTTAAGGTGCTGACACTCCCACATTACCAACCACGTTTCAAGTCTCAGACCTGGTGGCTTGCTTTCTCACATTCTCTTTCTCTGTCTCTCTTTGGTCAAATTAAAAATAAAATGTATGAATAAATAAAGTTAAATAAATAATTCTTTAAAGAAAAAAAGAAATCTTGGAACTAGCAGTTGATGTAATGGCTATGTCACTGGACTCCCATGTAGTTGACTGCGGGTCGAGTCCCAGACCTGGTGGCTCAAACTCAGGCCGGGCGTGTGTGTGTGTGCGTGCCCAAGGTCCCGAGAGGAGAATGGAGGAGAGGGGATTACAGCATGGCCATCCCCCTTGGGGGGTGATTTTTCACCTTCCATCTCTCTTTCTTTCTTTGTCTTTCTGGAGAGAGCATGCACCCTATGGCAATAACCTCCTAAAAAAATTAAAAATCAAATCTTAAGTACAGTTCCATTGCTGTTCTCTCATCTTTGTGCTATGGTTGTTATGCATTTTAATTCTATGTATATTATAAAACTCATCTTGTTAAAATTTTTGCTTCAAATAGGCAAGTTTTCCTTAAACAAAATACAGGGGTAGGGATAGGTTTTTTTGTATTTGATGGGATTATCTTGTAGTTTTCTTACTCTATCTGTGGGGTCAGCTGTTTTTTCAAAGAGCTCTGGTTTGTTTTAGTGTAAAGTGATAATTAGCTAAATTCTGTTTGGTACGAAATATGTGTATATGTAAACACTCACATACTTACATCTATATTTCTATGTATTAAAAATTATGAGTGTGGGAACCAGCAGTTAGTGTAATGGCTATGTCGCTGGACTCCCACGTAGTTGACCGTGGTTCGCGTCCCAGACCCGGTGGCTTAAAACTCACGCCGGATGCGTGTGCGTGCGGGCCCAAGATACCGAGAGGAGAATGGAGGAGAAGGGATTGCAGCGTGACCATCCCTCCTGGGGGGTGATTTCTCACTTTCTCTCTCTCTGTCTGTCTGGCGAGCACACGTGCCCTATAGTGAAAATCTCTCCAAAAAAAAAAAAATTATGAGTTTATTTGATCTATCCAATTTCACTAAAATACCATATGTTAGTTCTAGTGTTCTCCTCTCTCATTGTTGACAATGAAGATCCTAGCTTCCAAGATCTTTAGTATACTTACTTCATTAGTCCCCTTGTATTTAAAAGTCTTTCATAGTTGGTGCTGTTGCCCCTTTCTCTGTGTATTGTGGCTACTTAGCTTTGCCACCATCACTCATTCCCTTCTTTGCATGGATTATCTGATTCTACTCAACTCTTACACTTGTGTGAGGTAGCCTGCTCACCCAGAGGCCTTCATTCATTTTGGATTATGTTAATATCCCTTCCTGTGAATACTCTGCGTAAGTTTTGAGACCCTGTGCTAGGTGGCTCACACTAATGGGAGCTTTCTTACTCCTGTTGGGCTCTAACTCTCCATGCTAAACTAACTCCTATATATCTCCTGTTGTGGGTGCCGTCTTCTTCCTACGGTGACTCTGACTCCTGTGCTAGGCCGTTGTCCACAATGGATTCTGACACTGTAGGCCACCCTTCTGCTTAGCTGCTTAGCTGCCAGTCTTGGTTTGTGCCACCCAATGACTTTGATACCAAATTGCTTGTAAAAAAGAAAGAGGACAAAGACCTTTTACCTGTGAAAGCAAAAATAACTTTTTTTTTAAAGAGAGATTTTTGCTATATATAGGGCCTATGTGCTCACCAGAGAGACAGAGAAGCAGAAAGCAAGAAATCACCCCCCAGTACAGATGGCCCTGCCACAGTTCCTTCCTCTCCATTCTCCTCTCAGGATCTTGGGCACATATACACACGTGCCCAGTGTGAGTTTCAAGCTGCCAGGTCTGGGACTCGAACAACGGATGACTTCTTGAAGTCTAGCATTGTAACCATCGTGGCATCTGTTGGTCCCAAAAGTAAGATTTTTTAGTTCATAAATGATAGATTTGTGTGACCACTTAATTATCTTCTCTTCTAAACCTTAACCTTTCTGAAGGTAGGAACTATTTTGTGGATCAAAATAGTTTATCCAGGATCTAGCATAAAATATGGACTTATTAAATCTTCTAAAAAATATTTATTTATTTATTTAATTCCATTTGTTATTACTATTGTTATTATTGGTTTTTAATTTGACCAGACAAAGAGAGAAAAAGGGAAAGCAAGCTGCCAGGTCCAAGACTATCCACGGTCAGCCATATGGAAATCCAGTGCCTTTAATCACCATGTTACTTGCCCACCCTCATGTGTTTAATACATTTTTATTGAATGAATAAGTATTCAGAGAGTAAGTACTTTAACTGGCTCATACAGCCGTTATGCATTAATGTGCTAAAGGCATGGTTTAAATCCAAATTTCTGGTTCTAAATTCATCCTGCAGGCTTTTACATCTTTTTACATTCTTTTCCCATCAGAAGTACATGGTGATCATAGGTTCGTTAGTCACCCATGAGCACAGTTAGCCTTACTTAATGCAAGACCATACATTATGTGTACAATATAAAGGTTAAAGCTTTCAAACAGATTAAAAATAGTATCTTTCGTTTGTACAACACTTTATATTCCTTGCGTCATAAAACACTGCCAAAAGGGGCTCTAGAAATAGTCTAGTTGTGCAAAACTAATCAGTACAGAACACACATATCACGAAAATGGCTCCCTATTGCACTGGGAATCTGGAGGGGTAGGAGTGGAAGAGGTAGGGAATATTTAAGTCATAGGACATCTAGTAATTTTGATACATTTTTGTCTCCTCACAGTGTTCTTAATTCTGTGATTTTACGTGATCCATATAACAACTTCTTAGAAACTTGTAGGACAAGGAACAATTGACAAATGAGGTTGTTTGAGTGACTTCTCAAGTTTATCTTTCTCCATTCTTGTCCTTCTCTAAAGACATTTTATTTATGAATATGATATTATTTAAACATTTATCTGTAATGCAATATATTTGTCATGGTAGGGATATGGTGAAGAAAGATGTGAAATAACATTCCAGGGACCAGCAGGTGGTGTGGTGGAGAAGGTGTTGTACTCTCACATGACTGATTGTGGTTTGAGTCCTGGACCTTGAAAATCATTCTGGGTACATGTGCGTGTGTGCCCAAAATCCCAAGAAGAGAATGGCATTGTGGTGTGGCCATCCCTCCCACCAAGGGGGTAGTTCTCGCTTTCCCACTCTCTCTCCAGTGATCATGCATGCCCTGTGTCAAAAACCTTTAAAAAATTTTTTCAAGTACTTGAGAATGTAACTATTTGCGTAGTTTATTTCTTTTATTTTTTCAGCAGTGCTTAGAAAGTTAATATGGTAAATTACATTCCAAGTTCTCTCCGTTAGCAATACTAAATCATTGACAACTACTCCTGCTGAGTAGTTGATAAATTATAAGAAAATCGTAGATGAAAAATTCGAGAGGGAAAAATTTTTCAAACTCAGTCTTTAGTGAAAGTTCCTAACCTGTGTATACTTGCTCATTGTTAGTACTAAATTGGAAAGAACTTTATCATCAGAATTTTTTTGCTATGGATATATTTAGTATGCCCACTTGTAACTTTTCATACGATTCTTTAATGACCTAGGTAGAATTCTCAAGAATGACTTTAATTTTTGGATCATCAGAAATAAATTAGAGAAAAACTACTTTGCCATGCTAAATAGTTAAAAAGATTGTGGTTCAAATGTGAGTTATTTTGTCTGATACTATGTTTAAATTAGCTGATTAGAACCTAAAAATAATTTTTAAAGATGTATTACTTATAGTCTGAAAATTTGTTTTTTCTTCTATTATTGCCCTTTAGAATCAAAACATAAACAATATAAGAACCATTTTTTAACAGAAAATCTGAGAGTTCTGTGAACATCTCACCTGATACTTTGTTTCTTTCACTCTAATCCTTTAATAAGGAAATATCTGTTTGTTTATTTTTTAATCTGTGAGCTATGAGGCCTCCCTTGCAGTTTGAGGACTAGGTAACAAATACGCAAAAGCACCACACATTGTATGTGCACTTCCTAGGTGCTCAGTAAATTGATTTTATGTAGCGTTTAAACTATTATCTAGTATAACTTTGATTGAAGTAAATTTGATTATGCTTTCCTGTCAAATTTTCTTTTCCTTTATTATTCTATAGGTGTATCTACGTCAGCTATCAAAATGGCATCAACAAGACTTCCTTCCCCCAAAAGCTTAGTGGGTGCCCCAACTCAGATTCTTGCACAGTTTCCTAAACAGCATCAACAGTCTCCTAAGCAGCAGTTACATCAAGTACAACAGCAGACACAGCAAGTAGCCCAACCTTCTCCTGTATCTCATCAGCAACAGCCTCAGCAGTCTCCTTTGCCACCTGGTATCAAACCTACCATCCAAATCAAACAAGAGTCAGGTAACTTGAAAATGTTTACAAAATATGATAGTTCTTACCAGTTCTCTGAGTCTTCTAGTCCACAAGTAGGATATGTCTCTCCATTTATTTCAAACTTTTATGACTCGTTCATTTTCATCAGTGTTTCATACCTTTCTAAAGTTTATTTTTATTTTTTCCAAGAGAGAGAGAGAAAGAGAAAGATAAGCACACATTGCAAATTCATCCCCAGCCCTAGTTGGCCTGAATCATGAGGACAGACTCAGCATTGTCAGGAGTCAGGGAGGTCCCTTGACATGAACTCAGCACCCTTCCCATGTGGGTCTAGACGCATTACCACTGCCTTGCTACCTGGCCCCAATGTGTTCTTACAATTTTCGGCATAACAGATTCTGATATACTTTGTCAGATTTATACCTAAGTCTTTTATTTTCTTGGAATGATTATAAATGGTGTTATGATTTTAATTTATTTTCATACATGTTGTTAGTACATAAAAGTAGTGTTGGTCTTGTATCCTTCAACATTGCTGAACTGACTTCTTAGTTGTAGGAGCATTTATTGTTACATAGATTCCTTGGGGTGATCTGTATATACAATTATGTCAACTATAAATAAGGGCAGTTTTATTTCTTTCTGTCAGCATGCCTTTTATTTCATTTTCATGTCTTATTCTGCTGGCTGGAACTTCTAACAGTGGAGAGAATGGGAAGAGTGGATATCCTTGCTTTGTTTGTGATCTTAAGGAGAGAACTTTTAGTCTTTTCACCATTAAGTGTGATGCAAGCTGTACATTTTGTAAATGCTCGTTATCAGGTTGAAGGAGTTCCCTTCCATTCCTAGTTTCTTTATTTCTGTTTTTTAAACTTTGTTTATTTATTTCATGATAAGGAGTAGGGAGTGGGAGAAAAAGGGGATCCACCCCTGAGAGGATCTTTCATACCTTGATCCACCTATAGCCTCAGCTAGCTTTGACATGGACATGTGCATGTGTACCAAGTGTATGCTTGGGATGTGAACCTGCCCTGCCTTCCATATGCCCAAGAATCTTGGAACATTGCATTACTGATGCACCCTACAGTTGATTGGTTTGTACTTTTCTGAGAGTTTTTTTAGTCATGAACAGGTATTAGATTTTGTCAGATGCTTTCCCGTTTCAATTGCTATGATTATATGCTTTTTGTTGTTTAGTGTATTGATATGCTAGAGTACATTGATTGATTTTCTGTTGAACTAGCCTTGCATTTCTGAAATAAATCCCACTTAGTCATGGTGAAGAATTCTTTTTTATTCGCATTACTAGATTTAGTTTGTGTTTCCATTCGTGAGAGATATTGATTTGTAGTTTTCTTATTTGTATTGCCTTTGTGTGGTTTTGGTATAAGGTTAATACTGACTAGATAAAATGAATTTTGAAGTATTCTTCTTTTTCTATTTTCTGAAAGAGATCGTATATTGCTGTTAATTCTTCCTTGAACGTTTAGTAGACTTCTCCAATAAAATCATTTGGGTCTGGAGATTTATTTGTTGTGAGCTTTTAAATTATGAATTCAGGTGCCAGCAGAGGACATAGCAGTTACATTGCTGGACTCCCACATGGCTGACCACAGTTCAAATCCCGGACCTAGTGGTTTCAAAATCATGCTCGGCATGTGTATGTGCGTGGCCAAGATCCCAGAAGAGAATGGAAGAGAAGGGATTGCAGCATGGCCATCCTCCCTGGGGGAGGTGATTTCTCATTTTCTCACTGTCTCTGTCTCTACTATTAAACTAAGTCATTTTGGCCTAAAATAGTCGTACTCCCACACTTTGATTCCTGTGAGTAAGCTAGGCCTCAGTCAATCACAAACATTGCATCCCACTTTTTAAACTGTGTTAATGTAGACAAACTTCAAAATGTAACCAGTGATTTCTCTGCCTCACTCCCTCACTTACACTTTGCGTACAACACTTTCCTTTTATTACACACCTTACTTTCCTGTTCTGCCAACTTAAAAGGCCAAATTAACCACAAGGCTGGCCTGAGCTGTACAAAAGTCCAGAGACAACTGCCCAATTTAAATCGTATTAAGATTTGCTCTATTAAAACTTGAGACCAGCAGTTGGTGTAATGGCTATGTCGCTGGACTCCCATGTAGTTGACCCTGGTTTGAGTCCTGGACCTGGTGGTTTGAACTCACATGGGGTATATGTGCTCGTGTGTCCAGGATCCTGAGAGAATGGAGGAGAAGGGATTGTGATGTGACCATCCCCCCTGGCGGGTGATTTCTCGCTTTCTGTCTCTCTCTCTCTCTCTGTCTGTCTTGCAAGCACACCACATGCCCTATGGCAAAAACCTCTCCAAAAAGTTGCAGAAAAAGAAACAGAAACCAGCCAATTTAATAGAGTATATCTTTTTAAAAATTTTTTTGGAGAGGTTTTTGCTAAAGGGCATGCATGAGAGTCAGAGACAGAGAGACAGAAAGCGGGAAATCACCCCCCAGGGGGGATGGCCATGCCACAATCCCTTCTCCTCCATTCTCCTCTCAAGATCTTGGGCATGCACGCACATGCACCTGGCATGAGTTTAAGCCACCAAGTCTGGGACTCGAACTGCAGTTGACTACATGGGAGTCCAGCAACTTAGCCTAACTGCTGGTCCTGGTTTATTTTTCTTTTAACGCTACCATTCCGAAGCCCACACATCTAAGGCAAAAACTTCTTTTAAAACAAAATAAGTAAATAAAGATGTGTCTTATTTAACTAACTAAATTATGTTTATAATAGATAGATAAATAAATTGACTCCAGCTTTTTAAAATGGCTATAGGACTGTTTAAATGATCTGCTTCATCTTTTAATTTTGGTAGTTTGTGGTTTTTTAGGAATTAGTCCATTTCTTCTAAATTGTTGAATTCATCAGTATAAATTTGTAGTAGTTTTTATTATTTTTAAATAACTACAGAATCTGTATTAATGTCCATTTCTGATAGTGGTGATTGCATTTTCTCTTTTTCTTTGTTAAACTTGCTAGACGTTTATAAATTTTACTGAGTGTTTTCAAGTACTACATTTTGTTTCATTGATCTTTCTTATTTCATTATTTATTATTTCCTTCTGTTTTCTTTGGATTTATTTTATTCTTTTATTTGTTCCTTGAGATCAGAACTTTGATTATGGATTTAAGACATTTTTATAGGACCATCTTGTGGCATGATGGTTAAGGCAGCTGGATTCCACATGGCCTACTGTGTGGTTTGAGTCCTGGATCTGATAGCATGAGAAATAAGCTGGGGTTTGTGCATGTGTGCCCAAAATCCCAGAGGAGAATGAAGAAGAGATTAAGGTGTGGCCATAAGCCCTGGGGGATGTTTTCTCATTTTCCATCACTATCCACATTCTTCATATTGTAATCTTTTGGAATTTGTCCTCACATGCAATAGGATAATAGAGAATATTGATAGATATATCATTGGTCTGTAGTTTTCTTTTTCTTGTGTAGTCTTGATCAGATTTTAGTGTCAGTGTTATGTGTGCTTCCAAAAAGAATTTTGTAATTTTCTGTTTTTAATATTCTGGATTTTTTAAAAATAAAACAATTTCATTAAGATGTAATTCACAAACCATTTAGTTAATCTAGTTAAAATGTAAAATTCTACAGTATTTAATATATTCATACATATCACTAAAGTGATTTTAGAACATTTTCATCACCTCAAAAATAAGCTCTATTGGGGCCATCAGGTGTGGTTAAGGCACTTTACTCTCACATGACCAATCATGGTTTAAGTTTTGGACCTGGTGGCTTGCTTTCTCTCATCAAATTGAATATTAATAATAAATAAAATTAAATAAATAATTCTTTTAAAATGAAACCCCATTATCTGTCAATTCCTACTCCTTTTACTATTCCTCTTCCCCTATGCCCTTAACAACTGCTAGTTATTTTCTCTAAGTTTTCATACTCTGGACTTTCCTATGAAAAGAATCATATAATATGTGCTCTTTCGTGACTGACTTCTTTAATTTACCATAATCTTTGCAGAGTTCATCCATGTTGTAGTATATATTAGTACTTCATAACTTTTTATGGCCAAATAATGTGTGTGTGTGTTTATTTGTTTATTTATTTATTTTTAATGATAATGACCATGAGAGAGAAAAAGGGTGAGGAAGAGGAAGAGAGAAAAAGAAAGCACCCTTACCAGAATCTCATCATGCCAGGATCCTCTTTGCCTAGCCCTCCAGCTTCTCAGGACTTTAGGCACCCATGTGGTTACTGGGCATGTTTTTAGGTTTTTTTTTTTTTTTTGGAGAGGTTTTTGCTATAGGGCGTGTGCGCTCTCCAGAAAGGCAGAGAGAGACAGAGAGATAGAAAGTGAGAAATCACCCCCAAGGGAGGATGGCCATGCCGCAATCCCTTCTCCTCCATTCTCCTCTCAGGATCTTGGGCATGCACGCACACGCCCCCAGCGTGAGTTTAAGCTGCCGGGTCCAGGACTCGAACCACGGTCAGCTACATGGGAGTCCAGCGACATAGCCATTACGCTAACTGCTGGTCCCCCACTGGGCATGTTTTTAGGATTCAAACCTATCATTGGCCATATGGTTTCCAGCACTACAGTCTAGTACTCTGGAGTACGCCACTTAGGCTACACCAATATTTCATGTTTCATCTTTACATTTTTCCCACTGGTATATGTTTAGGTTGCTTCTCCCTATTGACTATTATAAATAATGCTGCCCAAAACAATGAATAATGCTGCTAAAAACATTTATGGACAAGTTTTTGATTATTCATTTCCCTTGTGTGTGTACCTAGGAGTGGAATTGCTGGGTCATATAACTGTTTGAGAAATTGTTTTCCAAAGCAATTGCATTATTTTATATTTCCACTAATAGTGAATGAGAATTCTGATTTCTCTACATTTTAGTCAACACTTATTTTTCTCTTTTAGATTCTAACTATCATAATTTATGGGAGGCACTATTTCATTGTGATTTTGATTTGCATTTATCTGATGGCTAATGACCTTGAACATT